ATATTTATCCCATCAATTAAATCAAATTTACTAACTCTGTTCTCTCTCCTAACCCAACACAGACGCTTCTTCTCCTCCCTTTCTTCTTCTTCACAAAATTCCATTGTTGCTCAGCCATGGCAGACCTGCCATTACCATTTTTGAACAAGAAGCTCTGTGCCTCATTTAATTCTTCTGCAATACCAACGTTCAATTTTCAAATGGTTCATAGCTTTGACTCAATTTCAAAATCCCGCCCAAGACTAAGAACCCTAATTTTACACCTATAAATACCGGCGTTTGGATGCTACTTGAGACAAGCTTCAGCCCCCTCCCTTACCCCAAAAACTGATGGTTCAGCCGCCCCTTTAGCCCCTAAACTGAGCCGCTGCCTTCACCCTTCAAAACTAGACTGAGATCCGCTGCTCTTCCCCTCTTTAAATCATTCTTTGTTTATTAACTGTTATTCATCTCAGAAAGCTTCATTCTTTTAACTCCCCTGTTGTTTCTGTTGGGTATTTACCCTTGCATAAAATTGATTATCTTTATTTATTTTAGTCGAATTTGTTGTTTTCCGAGAGAAAGGAGCGGGCTTGAAATTAGAGTTCGATAGTGCATCTAAGACCCGCGCCTCGGTTCGCTGCCCGCAAAAAAGTCAGTAATCTTCCTTTTCTCTTTCTTTTAACTCTAGAAATTTGAACGGATTTGTGCTTCAGTATTGTTGTTAGTTTCGCTTCGCGATTCAGATGTCATAAAAGTAGGTTTCAACATACTTTAAGTGACGGTTTGATTAAAGTAGCTATTCTCTGTTTGTTACTTTTGGTATAAATTATACTTAATAGTTGTATGTAAAGGACCCTGACTTTGTTATTACACATATTAGAAACATGTGTTAAGAAAAAAAAATTCTTTTCTCATTTGTTGTAGAAACCATGGCTTCACTCTTATATAGCCCATGTCTATATGACTTACTTGTTTGTTCTGTGCTTAGGCGTGGAGTATGTTTAAATTTACTTCTCTGGCTGTTTGGCTTAAGCAATTTAAAAAATGAATATTTTGTGCTTAATCTCTGTTTCATTATTTCTGTATTAATAAAATGATATAGAATGATACAACAGATAAAAGATTGGGTATATATGAAGCAAGATCTTTGGAACTTGATAATACACCGTTTAAACTTGCAAGGGCATAACTTTTAGTGCTTTATCATTTAACTTTAGACCTTAAAAATGTAATCTATGACTTTAACAGTAAAATGTTACTGTGATACCTACTTGGATATGTGGTGAGTAATCTATGGGTTTAACATATTTTGTGAGTAGCATGATTGTATGAGTTTGCAGATGGTTGCGTTTTCTTAAACAATGTATAATTTTGAATCTTTGAAACACGTTTAGCTAAAAGCATAGTATTGAAACTTTATGGTAGCCGCATAAACCAATGGCTAAGTTGAGTTGAGTTATGCCCTATCTCTCTGTTACATAGTCAATAAAGGTATATCACCTTATGACAAGCACTATGATTAGACCCCCTCTTTTATTGAAGTTACGAATGTGAGTTTACCGAGAAAGCTAACTAAGAACAACCTGCAAATTAGCATTCATTGTAGATGTTCAATTGGTAATCCTAAATTCAAACTTTAAGAAAATAGAATGCCTATTGGGGATTTTGTAAATAGTTCTTAACTCAAGCTCACTTAGATATTTAAGCTTTTTTTTAGAATCACGGTCCATAATTCCATTAAGCTAGTAATTAGCTAACTAAACAAGCTATAGTGTTTTGAATACATGTTAAGATCTTATATTTTCTTAAGGGGGATTGACTTAAAATAGCTTAAGTTTTGCTAAAGAACAAGAAGTATGTTCTGAAATGGTTTATTTTGTTTACCCTCGCTTAGAGGAGCACGCCTTTAGGATACAATACCTAGCTAGCACTCACTTCATCTTGAATTTAATGGAAAGATGTAGAATTTCTGTTTTGAGTACTTTTCCGGGAGGATAAGTTGGATTTCTACAGTACTGTGACTTTCTGGCATGACAAACTATTTGCTTTCACAAAGTTTACAAATTATTTGACAAAAGCTTATAGTTCTGTCGTTAATCCTTGGTGAAATTTGTTTTTTTGATATCATTTTTATTCTCATGGTTACTTGAAAGGGCATGGTCTCCTTCCTAATTCTATTTCCCTTTCTCTTTTGCATATGCACTTGGAGCGAAATATGGAGTCTTAGCGCAAGACTCGCCACCATACCCCGAGCATGGAGCCATCACATTACGCGTCTTTCCTAAAATACATTGGATAGCAAGAAAAACAAGCGAGACGTTTGGGGAATGCCTATGGCACCCTTATTCATTTTGTTATTTGTTTTCCTTGTCCTTTATGTTATCTGACTTTTGCGTGTCAATTTGCTTATTTTAGTATCCATTTTGGAGTTGCATGTTAAAACCTATATTTAGTAAAACATAATTTTTATCTCAGTCAAAGATCTAAAACTAATAAATCAAAACGGATTCCTCTAGTAACGCCTAACCTGACAAGTATAAATTACTTACTGTCTTCTCTTTAAAGATTTTAACTACATCTAGTATGGAATTATCTTTAATTCAAGTAGTGTTGCGGACATTTGGCCCTAAAACAGATCAACCTAAAAGTCTTTAGACTTTAATACTTATGGGAAAAGTTTTGAAGTCTTTCTTTAATCTCAAATAGTTTTTCTATAAGTATGAATTGGTTTACAAGTGTTCACTACATTGACTTAACTATTCTTTTCTTACGTTTTGGAAAGTTTTTTAACATTGATAATTTGCTTTGATTTCAGAACTTTGAATACGGTCTTCAACATAGTTATCTGACTTATCACAATCAGTTTTAAATAATACAGACTTTTAATATTTATTATCTTAACTAGTGAATTAACCTAAGTTTGGCTGGTTAACCATGTTTAATGGGTCATATAGAGTGTTTAATACCTTCTCTATAAGATTAATTGGAATCCTTATCCCTAGTCTTAAGGTTAAGCAGACCATTAAAAAAAAAACAGAGTTAACTTTAAATATTATTTAGCTAAAATTGATGTCCTAATTCACCGTTAAAATAGACTCTCTTTAATCAAATAAACCTCAGAATTACCAATATATTATACTCTAATTTAACCCGTGTTAAAATGGAGTATAACGTCGGACCCCTATCATCAGACCATAACCCCTAACCTAGGGCCCTGTGCCCCTATTAACTCTAATCCCCGACCTCGAACTCGAGCCCCCACCCCTACCCTTGAACCCAAGACCTGGAACCCTGACACCCCCCCCCCCCAACCCCCCAACCACTAGACTCGAAATCATGTCCTCCACTAACCAAACAATAGGACAAACTAAAATAGAACTCATCTTAGTTAGCTCATGAAATATATACCTCCTTTAAGTTCAAACTAATTCTGACTCAGAACTTGCTTTGAGCTTGAAAAGAATGTAACAAGATTAGAATCCTAATTTGATCCTCGAAAAGCATTAACACCATATCCGTTGATGACTGCAGTAACAATCAAATTATATTCTTGTTTTTGTGTTTCATTTGTCTGCTAATTGCTTCGAATTCACTAACTTTGTTCTGCATTGCCACTAATTAAGAGTCTATAAGCATCGGAAAGAATAAATTGGAGATTGATCGACAAAAATACAACATAGACCTACTTTTGTTGCAGATTATGCTGCAGATCGGAGGCAACCAACTCGTTTCCAATTGAGGAGATCTGCATCACAAGATTGGCAGTTGCACTTTATTCTTCATAGTTTTCAACGCCTACTTAGCGGGTTCTTGCCAATTTGACATAAAATCATGTGAATGCTAGTCAATTAGTAATTTCTTAACTGAGACACGTGGCCAATCTTCGATTACCTTGGACCTTTTTCTAAAGCATCACGCAATGTTAATTTCAAAATTTGGCATTTTACCTTTAACGGATGGAATGATTAGGATCTTTTCACCCTTAATCAAATGTCTAGGATTCGAGCCTGATAATGAAATTTTTTCCGATAAGAAGTCTGTTTTGCTTGGTGGGTTTAACCAATACAAATTCGAATTAATGGAGCCGATGAGCTTCCAGTAACCAATGTTTTAAAGGGTATGGGCGTGAGGCGAGGCATTTTACTTAACATGGGGCAAAGCGAAAGCTCCGAAGCACAGCGCGTAAGCCCCATGTTCAATTAAAATATTATGGCTCGTTATTTGAGTTATTCTCAATTTTTCTATTCCTACATATGAATAGAACTTTTATCATTTATGTGTTATAGAATTATGAAGGCCAACAAAGCTATTAGGTTATTCAACACATGATATGTGTAAAACTGTTGGGCGGGCCCCGAGCGTTAAGCTTTAGGTGTATTCAAGGCTCATAGTCGGGCGCTTGGGGCGTAAGCCTCGTGGAACTAAGCCCGGCGAGCGTCAGGCGTTTTGACAGTGCCCCGCCCAAAGGCAAGTCCCGAAAAAGCCTTTTACAATATTGCCAGTAACGAATGTTTAAAAAAAGATCGCCATCCCTAAATGTGGCATTATCTGCCATGTTTTGGTTGCTCTAGACTTAAAAGTTGTATCATGAAACTTGACCATGACAACAAGGTTTAAGTTCATAATCAATCATTTTGGTTTTAACAAATATTAGAGCAAACCCAGTTACCCAGAATTATAGGAGTACAATTTTCAGCTTTGCTATTTGCAGTAAATGCGTTTTGGAATGACAAATCGAATTTTGTATTAACTAGTAACCATACCTAAAATGCATATTAAAACTAGCTTGGATCACTCGAAAATATTTAATTCTAACTCAAAAAGCATTAAAATATAGGTGACTGAATTGGCTGTTGACATAAGCAAGGCAAGATTTATTCATTACGATAGTTTTAAAAGAATAAAATTTAAACATGGATAAAAATACAATAATTAAAATAAATTGGGAAAAATTAAGTACAAAAGCAAAAAAAAAAAAAAAAAAAAAAGAAAAAAATGAACAAAAAGTTCATGTAATTTTCTACTCATAACAACAAACGTAGTAAATTCTTAATCATATTAACAACATATTAGTAGTTGAAGTTGAACAAACAAATCATGAATACTGAAATACACAAAGTAGATCCAGAATACACCAGAAAACAAAATTTACATCAATAATAGCAGAACTTTCTTCTAGAACAATATGAAGGAATAGCAAACAAGCTGGCTGCTGCCATACTGCATGATCATCAGCACTACTCAAACTTGGCAAGTTCCCATTAAATTACAGATTCCTCCCCTGCTTCTGCTTAACAAAATTAGGTTTTGTTCAGATTTTTGCAACTATCGCAAACACCCCAAAAGAAAAATTAAGAAAAACAAAACTGAAGCAAAGCTAGAGAAGAAAATTCGTGGACATAGTACCTTTTCCAGGAACTATTATGATTGGGGCTGTTTTGCAGTGGTGAAAGCAATGCTCGCCGACACTTCCTTGAAGTACACTGGAAAAATCAAACAAACAAAAGAATCAGTCACAAGGGTTCATAATATAATTAGAACTGAGCATATTGTACTTGAGAGAGAGCGAAAGGCTGATCCAGGAGTTGAACTTTGATGGGTTCAGCCCTTAAAATTCTTAGCATTGAGCGTATTATACTTTTGAAATTATGGGTTCATAATATAACATTTATTTTTTATGTTTTTCACATTTATATTCATGTTCCATGTCGAAAATACTAGGTTCGACTGAACCCCAAGCTAATAAGCGAAATTTGCCACTGAGAGAGTGATACCTTTTGATTAAACTACGTCCCCTGGTTCCCATAATCACGGCTGCAGGCTTCAACCGTTCTGCTTCCTTGCATATTACCTTTCCAGCATCTCCTTCCACAATCCTAGCCACTGTCTTCACCTATTTCAACATAGATGCTCCACATTTATTAACAGTTCATCATGAAACCAAACCTCAGATATTATATGTCTGAACAATAATCCGACAGAAATAGACTTTTGGTTTGCATCTTCTCATGTCCAGTTCTACTAACAATAATAATTATCCAATACTCACTTCAGTAAAGGACACATTAATTGAATATTGAAGGCTATTACCATGGAAGAAGTATTACGTAATATCTGTGAGTAAAAGATTTCAAATGCAGAACAAAGCACATAAGTGAATGCAACATACAAATAAATAAATTTGTACATGATTCCTGATGATTAGAATATAAACAGAAAAAGAAATCGAAATTTGACATGCTTCTTGATGTTTAGAAAAATATAGATAGAAAATGGAGAGGAAGCCCTTGATGATACTGTAGTAGAAAGCACACAAAATTGAATAAGAATGGTAAGACTGGACAAAGCAAAGAAGTCAATTGAAAGAAGTAATGGGTGAAGGATTTGCAAGTTCTGCAGTTAGTGAAAACCAAAGATATATACACAACTCTGGCAAAACCTACAGAAATTCTGAAAATCCTAAGGTGGCAAAAATAAAAAATAAAACCATTTCTCGAAATAAACATCTAAGGATCACGGCTCATGGTTTCTGGACTTCCGAATCTCAATGATTAGCATGCTCACAAACAGATCAATTGTAACTCTAAATTCATCTGGATTATGCCTCCTATTCACAACTTAAGACTCTGCTAAAGCCCAAAGAGAAGGATAAGAGGAAAGATCCACACCAACTATAGTGACATGCTTTCTCCTTGTAATTTACAGTGTATACTAATTCCACAGCCATTAAGGTCTGACTATGAGAATACCCATCAAGTCAAACAGATTATGCATATTACAACCAACTGACCTTGCGTTACTTTATTCTATCCAGAATAAGGAAAACTAACGATAAGCACTCATCACCATGGAAATTCAATTTCACAGAGTTATATAATATGTTCGTCAGGTAACAATCTCTCAATCATGGAAGTTGTCACTCAAACCATCTCGCCACTTCATGAACCATATTCAATGAGAACATCTTTTGATATGTTCAAAGCAGGGTTCTTAGACACAGAAAGAAGGGAAATAAAAGCTTATATTTTATATATTTGAATGACTTCTCAAATTCTGAGTATATTTATATCTGGAGACAACTAGTAGGAATCATGATACTCAAATTTTAGTTATAGCTTACCCCAACAATGAGCTTAACTTCTAGCATCAGTCAACAATGATGGATAAAGGAGTCACAGGTTGATAATATGTATTGTAAAGGAATAAAAAAGCAGAAGAAAGTTGAACCACATTCTTGGAAATGTCAAACATGGGATCTCAGAGCTGCTACTCAAATTCCAGGGCAGCACTTCAATTTGGTTTTTTAGGAATAATAAATCATAAAAATGAGAAACAGGTTAGGCACGTGCACTAATTGTTCCAACATCAACTCATAGCTTTGCCTTCTGATTTATAAAATTAAACCTTCGCTGAAGCTCCCACCGCATTCTCACATTCACTTTCATTCATGGTCCATTCAAGTAAGATACACTCATTATTGGACCATGATATTGTTCAGGCAAGTATTCACAGTATCAATTCTAAGCTGTATATGAGGAACTTAGGCTTTGACGAGCATTAATCACTAGGAAGGGATTTAACATAGAGATATAAAACAACATTCCAATAGCGAAAACTCCGTGAATAGGAAACAAATGAGGAGCAGACCATGAAATCAAGTTTAAATGAAACAAATGCGAGATCCATCTGTCATTGTCATTCATGCAAACTTCCTTCATGCAAGGATATCTTATTCACGGAACTTCGACGTTCTCTGATGAACTCTTCTTTCCTCCAATTACATCTTTAGGAACAGAAAGAATCCTCAATTGAACACTAAGAGAACTCCATTATATGTCAAATGGGTTCTAAAGCTAGAGGCTTTGTTTCAAGGAGGGAAATTAAAAGGACCTTCTTTCACCTAAAAATGGTCCAACATAACTTTTAGAGTTGACCCAAAAGTGTTTATGCATTTCCCTATATTCTTCATGCAATCTCAAAATTGAAAAAGTTATCCGAAACCTCATTATTATGCTATCAAAAGTACAAATTATCAAAAGAAAAATAGTCCGCCTCTCGGCTCGGAGATTAGCACACATCTTGGTGATAAAGAGAGAATAGTAAGAACATGGTTTATCAAAAAATAGATCTTCTTTACATCAGAGTTCAACAATATCCATCAAGATTGCCTTCATCATTTAAGAGAAATCCGATCTAGGAGTGAAGAGTCACGAGAAGTGCCAGTTCAGTATCGGAAGGAAAGACAACTACGAACACCCGTGCAACTTATCTTTAAGGATGACACACAAATGACATGCATGGAAACAATTGTACTACCCCATATATTACTCCTTGGAAAGTCAAAAAACCTTTAAATATTTAAATAACAGAAAATTGTAACATATAGTACTGTTTGAGTAGTTTCTAAATGCTCCCTCCTCTAAATTTAGAAATAATTTAACTTTAAACTTCTCATTTTATCCTTAGTGAGATATTTATAACCATATGGCTCCTTTTAAGATTTCAAGTTTTAAACTTCGTGCTTAGTCAAATGTCATACTGAAAATGGGATATACTATGTAAGATATTGATATGTAGGAGTAGGAATTTACTCTGAACATCATTATTTTTGGAACCAAAAGAGCAATCCAAGTACTCCTTATGTCCCAATTTATGTAAAGGTATTTGACTAAGCACGCAATTTAAGAAATAAAGAAAAATTTTTGAAACTTGTGGTCTAAAACAAACTATAGAAATTTGCGCGACTAAAGATCATCTTATTAAGGATAAAAAGTGAAATTTAAAGTTGAACTGTTACTACTTTAAAATATATACTCCCTCCGTTCCAATTTATGTGAACCTATCTGACTGAGCATGAAGTTTAAGAAAAAATGAACACTTTTGGAATTTGTGGTCCTAAACAAGTTAAAAAGGGGCCCGGAGTATTTGTGTGGTTATAAAAGCTTTTCATTACGGGTATAATTATAAGTTTAAGCTAAACTGCATCCAAATTTAGAAAGGGGTAATTTTTTTACAATGGACCAAAAAGGAAATAGGTTCACATAACCGGAGCGAGTAATTGTTTTTGGGACTGACGAAAAAGAAAAAAATATCACATAAATGGAGAGTAGCAATTACCAACAATTCAAAAATCAAACAAGAAGGAAGCACGAGAAGCAAAAGGAAAGAGAAACACTGACCATAGCAACCTTGAAAGCCTCGATGGCAAGCTTCTCCATGAGCGCCTGTGTAGCTTCATAGACAATCTCATTTCTCAAACCTGAAAGAAATCATATTAATTTTTAGAAACAAATTAAAGGAAAATAACAAACACCGATTATTTTGGTCCCAAAATGAAAAAGAAAAAGAAAAAGAAAAAGAAAAAGAAAAAGAAAAGCAAATTAACTGGAGACGGCGTGGACAAGATGAATGGTATCAGCGAGACGGCAAATATGAGTGACAGCCCAATCAAAAGCGTGCTTGCTGTTAGGACCGTGATCAATAGCGATGACTATGTCACGTCCACGGCGCCTCTCTCCTGTTTCTCTCTCCAATTCAGGCGGCGGCACCACTGGTATGAGCGACGGAAGCTTCACTTCTCTCCAGTTGTACTCTTCTTCCTCCATTAGAGTCTCCATTAATTATTGATAGTGTACAGGGTATTTGGAATTTGAAATAGTTGTTCTCTAATTGGGAGAGAAAGTTTTTGTTTGATAAAATAGAAGAAGGGTGGCGAATGAAACGCGGGCAGCCAATTTTGAATTACGCGTGTTGAACGTGGAAGGTCAAAGCTTTGCTGGCTCTACTTTTCATGATGTTTAGCATATCTTATTAATCTTAAGATTTATGGGCACTCAGAGTCAGAGAATTTCAACATATGCTGATTTTCAGCAGACACGCTCGTGTTCAAGTGGCTTCTTTTCTTCTAGAGTACGTTTTATCTTTTTCGCATATCTCGTATGTGTCGTAAGATCTTGGCTTAACCACAATTTATTAACCTACTAGTTTTATGGTAATATTTATTCTCATTTTATATTATTTTACAAAAATAAAACTATTTTATTTTATAGGCAAGACAAATGTTACCTATCACGATTCAAAATTCCAAGAATTTGTGATCAGCATCCGGCAATTCCCTTACCGACCGAACCATGCTTTATCATAATCAAAGTTTAAAACCCGCTCTTATATTAATGATTAAAGACTATACAGGTGAATAATTCATCAACTGCCCTCTAAGAGCCAAATACACAAGTTTAAAACCCGCTCTTATATAAATAACTGAACTATTAAGGTTTTAAGGAGTCCGGAAACAAAATGATAAAAATTGCATGGTGCGCCCCTTTTTAACCTGTAGCCGCTTTGTTTTTCTGTTTGCACTCGTACCCGAATTTTTGTTAAAAGCTTTTTAAAAAGACTATTTGGCCTTTCTTTATTAAAAGACTATTTTCTGTCCAAGTATACGCTAGTCCTATACTGTTTCCGTCTCTCTCTCCCGTTATTCGCGTATTTTGATTTGTTCTTCTCTGAAATCAAACGGTTTTCGTCATTGTTTTTGATTTTTCAACTGTTTGTTCCCCAATAACATTACGATTCAATCACAGGTACATTGCATTAACTTTCTGGGTTTTATTTTAGTATTACTTTTTACGATTTAATTTTCTCGTTTTTAGTTTTGATAGTCATGTATTTATGATAAAATAGTTTTTTAGGGTTTAGTTTGATAAGTGCATTAGTTTTACTTTTACGATTGTATTTTTAGGTTTTTTGAACGTGTGTTTGTGTTGTTGATGAAAATTCTATAAATTCTTCGGTGATTGGAGACGTCGAAATTTTTAAAAATTTTGAGAATTAAATAGATGATACTATTAATGTGTGAAGTTTATAATACTTCAATGATACCTTAGATAGGAGCTGAAGTTTTGTTTCATGTTTTGTGTTTTTTTTTGTTATATTTTTTATGAACTTCAGCATTATTTTTGGATTTGAATTTGTGTTTTATTTTTTGTAAAAACTACAGCATTTTTTTTGCTGAATGTTTTGTTTTGTAGCTGGTGAACTTCAGCTCTAGAGCTGATGTATTTGTTTTGTAACTGTCGGATATTTTGTAACTGTCGAACTTCAGCTCTAAAGCTGCAGTTTTTGTTTGTAACTGGCCAACTTCAGGCTTCTTAGAGTTGAAGTTTTAACTGATTTTTTTGATAATGTCCTGATGTTATTTTTTGTATCTTTTACTTTTTTTGAACAGATGGCACCTAAATCAGCTAATACACCTAAAGCACCTAAACAACCTATTATACCCCAAGGTCCTTATGTTCCTGCTGCTCCACCTACAAAACCAGGGCAAAGATATTTTAAGTTTAGATATTGGTTTAACTATAAGGGTTACTGGAAGGGGAACCACGATTTGAAGAGCTTAATTGCAAGTTTCTTGACTCCTACAAAACGGGATAAGCTTAATAATGGTACATTTCGATATATTGTGGCTATGGAGAATTTCAAATGCAGCATGAAGTTGGTTCATTGTTTGTGTCTTTCTCGAATTTTCACCAATGATCGAGACTGCATTAGTTTCGAGATTTTTGGCCATGATGAAACATGCATTGTAACTGGTGAACTTCAGCTCTAGAGCTGAAGTTTTTGTTTTTTAACTGTCGAATGTTTTGTAACTGTCGAACTTCAGCTCTAGAGCTAAAGTTTTTGTTTGTAACTGGCCAACTTCAGGCTTCTTAGAGTTGAAGTTTTAACTGATTTTTTTGATAATGTCCTGATGTTATTTTTTGTATCTTTTACTTTTTTTGAACAGATGGCACCTAAAGCAGCTAAAGCACGTAAAGCAGCTAATACACCTAAAGCACCTAAACAACCTATAATACCCCAAGGTCCTTATGTTCCTGCTGCTCCAACTACAAAACCAGGGCAAAGATATTTTGAGTTTAGAGATTGGTTTAACTGTAAGGGTTACTAGAAGGGGAACCACGATTTGAAGAGTTTAATTGCAAGTTTCTTGACTCTTACACAACGGCATAAGCTTAATAATGGTAAATTTCGATATATTGTGGCTATGGAGAATTTCAAATGCAGCATGAAGTTGGTTCATTAGTTTCAAGATATTTGGCCATGATGTTTCCTTCACCCTTGAAGACTTTCACATTATGTGCGGTTTGCGGATCATAGCACACAATGTTGAAAAACCAATTAATCGAGAGAGCAATATTCTGAAGCGCTATTTTGGTAAGTCCAAGGGTGTGACCTTGAAGGATATTCGAGATTTTATGACTCGAAATGAAATTCTAAAGAATGTTGTGAATCACAGTCATGTATGCGAGAGTGATGATGATGCTGTGAAGCTTATGGAAATTCTTGTTGTAGATTCTATTTTGTTTGGGAAAAAGACTGAATCATCTGTGCTGGAGGAGTATGCAGTTATTGTTGAAGATGATAAGGTTTGTGCTGAATATCCTTGGGGTATTGTATGTTATGAGAAGCTCATTTACTCACTGAAACATGCACTGGACAAGCAGAACAAATTTTATTCAACTGAGTATAAAGTTGGTGGATTTCCATATCCGTTATGTGCTTGGTTCTATGACCGCTTCCTAGATATTAGGGAGAGGTATATAAGAGAGGATGAGTACCTTGATACCCCTCAGGTTCCCAGGATGTTACGTTAGGTATGTGTGGGAGACCCTAAATATAATGAACTTTTTGATATGTTCAGTAGTCATGATGTAAGTTATTTTTTTTTATTTTTGTCTTTGTGTTAATATGTTGTCGTATTAGCTTTTTTCCCCTCATAATATACTTTTTTGTATTAAACAGAGATATCGCACCTTTAGGGTATTGGATATAATTCCTACAGAAGAGGAATTGAATTCAATGCCTTTAATTGGACAATTACCATGCGGCCGGGTTCGTTCAAAGGTACTTAATGCGGTTCCTTCAACTGGTGAATCACCACGTGGTCTGAGTCGATCAAAAGAAGCGAATCGAACTCCACTTATTGGCGAATCACCACGTAGTCGGAGTCGATCAAAAGAAGCTAATCGAACTCCTGTTATTGGCGAATCATCTCGTACCCAGAGTCGTTCTAACCGTTCTACAACGGAGTTTGATGAGAATGAATTACTCGACACAATATATTCTATAAGTTTTGAGCTGAAGTTTTTTGGTTGTGTTTTTGTAAAACTACAGCCTATTTTGAGCTGAAGTTTTGTTCTGTTTGTGATGAACTTCAACATCATAATAGCGAAGTTGTGTTCTGTATTTGCTGAACTTCAACATTCTTTTATATCTGAATTTTTGTTGTGTGTCTTTATACTAGAGGGTAACGATGGAGGTTCAAAGTCATGCAGAAAAGGAAAGAAGTACGATCGTGAAAGAAGTTTTCGATAAGTTTCAACGGGATGAGCGCTCTGCTATTGTGGATGCGGTTTTTGAAAAAGTGAAGGTAAGCTAATTTATAGAGAAGTCTTTTTGTTTTTGCTAATGTTTTCAGATTAATCATTGTTAGTAATTTTTTTCTAGGAATATTTTGATGAGAAGTTTGAAAAGTTGTTGAAGATTGTCGACAAATCAAACGGAATGGATGATGGCAATTTTGATTTGAGGAACTGTCGACAATATGATAGGATGAACGACTATTTCGAACATGATGTTGTTCATGATGCATCGCATAAAGTCGAAGCTGAAAATGCTACACGTGCCGAAGCGGCTTTTGGAGGCGATCAACATGTTCAAGCACAAGTTGAAGAGGAACATTCCAGTGGTGATAGACTGATTAGAGATGGAAATGATGAACAGTTATCAACTGAGAATGTTGGAAGCAAGCAAGGTGCAGATGATCAAGTTGTTGTTACTGAAGAACATGATGCTCCTGATGTATCGCATAAAGTCGCATATGAAAATGCTACACGTGAGGAAGGGGCTCTTGAAGGCGATGAACATGTTCAACAACAAGTTGGAGAGGAACATTCCAGTATTGATAGACTGAGTAAAGATGGAAATACTGAAGAGTTATCTACTGAGAAAGGTGCAGATGATTAAGTTGTTGATACTGGAAAACATGCACCGATTTGTGCTTTGGGCAGTGATATTGCAAAAGGCAATTTGTTTGGCGATGGAGATCATGCACCTCTTGGTACTTTAGAAGTGACATCGAGTGATGTGTGTAGCACTATTGGGAAAGACGCTCGGTTTGCAGACACACTATATATATATATATATATATATATATATATATATATATATATATATATATATATATATATATATATATATATTATATATATATATATATATATATATATATATATATATATATATATATATATATATGTATGTATATGCAGAGAAAGTTGAGACAACTCAAAAACTCTCTGATGATGCTCAATTAAATGAAGATAGAGTTGAGAAAAACCTTCCAGAGAATACTGCAATGCTCCTCGACGTTGTTGCACAATTGAATGAAATTGGAAGTGCTGATATCAATAAAGGGATGCAGCTTGGGGAAACCACAGCAGAAGACAAACGTCAAGGTATTCTTTATCTTTTTGAATGATCCAAGTATATTTTTTACAGTTTGAAATTTTACTTACTTTATTTTTTTTTAATATTTTTGAATTATTATTCAGAAAGACTCAATGCAGCTCAAAAGGAATTTGGTGAGCTTGTTCAGCTATATCAAAAATGAGAAATACATCCATTACACCTGTTGGCTCACAGACAGGTGTGAAGCGTGTTTGTATTATTTTATAAAATTT